GCAGGTTGCAGCGTTTCCCCGCGCCGGCTGCTGCTCGGCTCCATCCAACACTCCTCGGGAGTCCCCTCCCCGACCCTCCAGCACACGGCCCGTCCCCACCCGCAGACACAAGCTGGAGCCGGGCCTGGGGAGCCCCCATCCCAGCTCTGGCCCCTGCAGCCAAGACAAGAGCAACTGCCAAGCTGCCCCGGCGGGAGGAGGCGGGGCCGGGATGCCCACCTGTGGGGCGGGGAGGCTCCGAACAGGCATTAGTGAGCACCAGACGCGGGACGCTAAAGGGCTTAGGATTCTTCCAGAACCGGCAGCCCCACACGGCACTCCTGTCCCTCCCAGCCGGCCCCCTTACCCTGAGTGTGAGCTCCAAGGGTGGAAGCCTGGGGCCGGGGGTGGGCTTCACTGGGGGGGCTGGGGGTCTCGGGGGAAGGGCCAGGACCCAGAAGCACTGGTGACAGAGACCAGGTCAGAGCCAGTGAGGCTCCCGCTCTCCACGGACACCCACTGAGCAGTTCTCTCCCGCCCGCCCCCAGCTGGAACCCAAAGGCCCAGAACTCCAGTCTCTAGTTTCCTTGGGCTGCGGGGAAGGGCTCACCATGCAGGACATTCAGTTATGTGTTCAGAAACGATTAAGCACCCTATCGCGTGCCCACCACCGAGCTATCTGCTGGGTATTTGGAAGATGCTAACCCTGTCCTATGACACTCTCCGGGTGTCCAGGGTGCTGGCCTGCTGCTGCCATGGGCACAGACTTGAGTGAGTGTGGGATGAGTGAGGGAAGTGAAGTCGGGACAAGACTCACCATAAGCAGAGTTCCCTGTGCCAGACTGACTCCCGGTAGCTCCGTCTATGAAGGGACAGAGGGCAAAGATGGGGGCCGGGGAAAGCTTCATGAACAGGGATTTTCACAGAAGGAACAAGACCCCTGCCTGCACAGTATCTGTGGCCCTCGGAGCCACGTGCAGCTATGGCTGGAGCTGCAGCCTCCCCTTCCATTTACCTTGGCAGTCACCGTGCTCCATGGATTCCTGGTTCCCAGCTGGATCCACGTCAGTCCTAGGAGGACATGGCGATGACTCAATGCAGTTGTACATCTTGCCCCCGCCCCCCACTCGGGCCCTCAGCTTCCTCTCTTATGGTGGGAACTTTCTCCTTAGGAGACCCGGGAGCCCCTCACTTACCCACCAGGTCCCCTGATATCCACACAGCCCCTGGAGCTATGCCATCCACAGTATGGGTCCTGAGAAGCCAAACAGCTCCTAGGGAAAACTGAGTCATGTGAGGCTGGGACCTTCTCCAATCACATTCCATTCACCTGCCTCTTCTACGCTCACCCTGGCCTACAGAAGGCTTTTAGCCCAATATTCCCATCCTCTCCGGCCCAAACCCTATTCCAGAACCTAGTTACTGTGCCCCTGCAGAATGCTTGAGGCATCTCCCCACCAACCACCCCCTGTATTTCCCCCCAATGCCTGCATTCCAGAGTTCCTGCCGGCCCAGGGAGCCCACCCAGGCAGGGCCCGGCCTCAGGCCCCTCTCACCTCCGACAGGCTCCATGCCGGGCACACCGGCTGAGAGGGAGGTAGATGATGCAGCCAGAAAAAGCCACAAAGAGCCTGTGACCTTCAGTGTCCAGCTCCAGTCCTATCACCTGCCGTGCTGTTTGGGCCGCCCGCTTCCCACTGCACCTAGGGTGAGGCCAAAAGGAATCAAAGAAGGGGCAGGCCTGGTGAGGTTCTTTTTTCCCTGAACGTGGTGAGAGGCACAAGCAACTAAGTGTGGCTCATGGAGGTGATGTCCCTGAGTGCCCACCCTGCCCCACCGCACTGTCCAGCTTCTCACCAAGCCCCTCTCTCTACGCCATAGCTTCTGCCCTGTAGAAGCCAATGTTGGGAGCTCCCACCCCATTCCCACATCCCCATCTACCATCTCACATCCCATTCCTGTTCTGCAGGCCGCCCGCCAGACAAAGGCCTCATGTCCTCACCGGGAGGGGCTGTAGGCATTGATCTCTTCCAACAGGATGGGCTCACGTCCTCCAGATTGTCCCCCTGGGGGCAGCACCTTCAGCACTGTTCCATCATTGGAGCCAAGGAACAGGACTGTGGTGTTACGATAGGGACCAGCCGTGCCATCCACAGCTACCTGGGTCAGTAGGGCCCTGGAGAAATAAGCCTTAGGTCAGGGCAACCCGCTAGTGGAAGCTTGGTGCTCCAAGGACAGCCCATGTGTCCTGGTACCCACTCCTGGGTCCTTCCCCAACCCAGGGTTTCCCTTCCCTTCCACTTTCATGGGCACTTCCTCCCGCCACTGTGATTTACCTTGTGGGGTCAGAGAAGGGGAGTGGCTGAGATGGGAGGGTAGTGGTCAGTGTTTTTTAGCCCCATACCTGCTGGTGAGGGTAAGGAGAGGCTGGTGGGTGGCAGGTGGCACAGTGGGGTCCAGCAGTGGGTGAGCCTTGATGAAAGTCAGGACATCATCAGGGAGATCTCGAGAAGAGGGGAATAAGGCAGCTACACCCACTCCTGCACAGGATCCTGGCCTGGTGGGCACATGGGAAGGGGCAGCCTTAGGGCAGGGAGCTGGGACATAGGCTCTGTGCTGCCCACACACACTGCTCCTAAACATGACGGGTAGCCCTTGCTTCCCCTCCACACACTCACACTACTGCTTCCCTTCCCAGTTGCAGCTTGCCAGTCCCACTGCCAACACACCACAGCCTCCTCCCCAGGCACTGGACACCTTTCCCTTTCCTTACAACCCCATTTTGAGAGCAGACACTGCTTGATTCTGACCCACAAAACCCACCCCCATCCTGGGTACCTGGGGGAGGGGACCCTGTCCTCAGACACAGGGGTCCAGGCCCCATCCGAACTCCTCTGCTCCTTGAACTTGCCCTCAAACCCACGTTCAATATCATCCAGGTAGAAGGCACAGACTGCAGAGCCAGGGATGCTGAGGAAGCCAGAAAAGGATGCGGGCTAGGTGTTAGAAGAGACAGCACAGCTCCTCCCTTCATGCACCATATTAGGGGGCAGAGCCTGAGAGGGTGGGGTGCCCCGAATGCTATGCTAGGAGAAAAAGGATGGGCAAAACAGCAACTGGCTTTGAATGGAACGTCCCCTCACTGACGCCATCAGTAAACTTTCAAAGAGGAGCTTGGATGCTGGTGGGGCAGGGGACAGACTGGGCCACATTGGTTAGTCTAATACCAACCTATTGGTCTGGGTGCTGAAGACCCCAAAGAGAGCAGGGCGGCCATACAAGTTCACAGGCCCAGTCAAGGCCTGTAAGACGTCAAAATAGAAGGCGGCATCCCCAGGGACAGAGCAGTTGAGCCGAAGCTTCAGGAAGGATGTCCAATGACGGTCCAAGGCCCGCGGTGAGCCGCCCATGTCACGCTTACACACACGGGCCACACGGGAGAACTGTACCTGAAGGGGGACAGTCGGGGACAAGGGGAGAACAGTGAGAGACAACCTCAGGGCCAGGGAGATGAGAGGAATGCAGTGAGTTAGAGCACCAGGACACACATGTTAGGGATGGAGCAAGGAAGGGTATGCTGCACGAGGTCATTCTGGGTTAAGGATGAGGGACACAGCAGGATATGGGGGCAGATGGCTAGGGTTGCTCCAACTTGGGGGCCCAGAGTCTAGGGGATTGCATTGTGGAGATCGGGCTCAGGAGCTGTCCCCTGACTCTGCCTTCACAGGATCCAGCAGAACCCTCAGCTACCCACCCCAGGTGCCCACCACCTCCTTACCCTCCCCAGCCGGGTGTCCTCCACGGAGACCTCTCGGAAGAAGAAGTAGACGTGGTCTCCATGCTCCAAGGCATGGACAAAGTGTGGCTCTGATGGGGAGTGACAGGAAAGGGTTGGGAAGAGTATCAGTACCTGCTCAGAAACTCCTGGCCCCCTGCAGCCTCTCCCCTCTGCACACATGGACACTGCCTGCTCCCTGCCAGTCCGCCCCATGCACCTCCTCCCCAAGAGCAGCCTCCCTCCCCCAGGCCCGCCCTGACCTCGGAGCCACTTGGAGTCGTACTTGGCTGAGCGGAGTGGGGGCTGAGGGCCAAGGCTTCTGTAAACTACAGCGTCACTGGCCTGGAAATCTGCAGCTGTGGCTGAATACAGGCTGCCCTCTGGAGGGAGGGGTAGGGTGGAGTCAGGGGATCTGCATTCTGGCTCTTCTTGGGCCTCCCACACCCCTACCTCAGTCTGACTCTGGCCTCTACCCCAGCCCTCCATTCAGGAGCATGGGGGGAAGGCCAAACTGGGAGAGGGGCTAAGGTGGGAGCTCCCTCCAGCCACATGCCTGCTTCTCACATGCCCAGGTGCTCACCTGCAAAGACAGCTACGTTGGACTGGGTGGCATCAAAGGGGCATCGAGCCTGCCCACTCAGCTCTTCACCCTCCTGCTGCAGCGAAGTTATCTGGAAACAGAGGGAACAGGTTCTTGGAACCCTTGGGGTCTTAGAGTCAGGCTCCATCGCCTACTTCCTCATGTCCCCTTGCTTCCTTCCCCCACCCCCACTGGTCTGTCCGCAACAAACTGTCCACTTGAGTTTTCCTCCCATACCCACCCTGACCCCCGCACTCTCGCCTTTGTACCCCATAACTGCGGCACACGGGGCTGAATGAGTTTGTTCCACAAGCAAGGAGTGTCTGCGAGTCCGAGGGAACGAGAACACGGATGTAGTTGTAGCACTCGTCCTAGAGAACACAAACCTCTATGTCAGTGACAGGGTCCCTGGGACTGGGACAGGGGGCCACAGGAAGTAAGTCCACTCCCCTTGAACAGTCAGATCAACGTGGGGTAAAGTTCCAACTAAGCTATTCACTAGCCCTTGGCCTGGGCAAGTCCTTCATTGGAGCCTCACTTTTCTTTTTTGTGAAGCAGTGAAAGAAGCTAAAAACCATTCATTCTCTTTCCTGCACGTTTTCCTCTGGGTCCTGAGACGAGGGAGTGGGTAGGAAATTGGGCACAGTACGAGACTGCGAGGGCAGAGCCTGGAGGCAGGGTGACCTCCTTCCCTCAGATTCTCCTTCCCCTCCTCACCGTCAGCTTCCCCCGCACAGCGCAGTTCTCCATGTCCTGGCTCCTCCATGTGAGATACTGAAGGGAGAAGTGGGAGAGGGAAAATCGTGGGGCAGCCTGGACCCCGCCTACATAGTGCTTCTTTTGGATTCTTTTTCCCACCCCCTTGGCTCCCATTAGACCCTCCCCAGCCTCATCTCTGTGTGCACCTCTTCCCAACCAGCCCCTCACCTTGTTGGGCACCAGTCCCTCCCCTTCTTCTTGAGCTTGTAGATCGAAGGAGAAAACATGATCCCTGAGGAGACAGGTAAAGAGGATCAGAGACAAGCCAAGGCACCCACCTGAGCTCCTTAGTCCTACCCTTGTCCATGTTCAGCTGCTCAGGGACAAGCAGGGCGAACCTCCTGCTCTCTACCCTCCCCCTCCCTCCATGCCTTGGCATTGTGCTCTGGGTCCCAGCATGTCCATGTCCCAGGAGCGTGTGTGTCAGCCCCACAACTGTGCCGCTGCTAGTTTACCGGGCAGCCACTAGCAAGGTCCGGTTCAAGGTCAGAAATTTCTGGAAGTCCAGCCCAAGTTCTGCAACCACAGCATCATCCTCCAGGCCCCGGAACCAGGATAATGGGGAAGTACCTGGAAGGCACAGAGAGGTGGGTGCTGAGAGCCAGCCAAGAGCCGACACACTCCCTCAACACCCTCTCCAACCAGATGAAACCCAGCCACGGACACAGTGGATATGTGAGATGAATTGTGAGGTATTAATTAAGTAACCTATTAAGAAAAATAATACCAGCTAACTCTGAGCACTTACCCTCTGCCAAACTCTGTGTTAGCCCCTTAGGTGCATTGTCACAATACAACAACCCTATGAGGTCGGTACTAATGGTGGTCCCATTTTACAGATGAGTAGCTTGAGGCTTAAAGCCATTATGGAATTTGCATAGCTCATTTACCTTGGAAGCAGCAGGTACCTGGATTCAGCTGTCAGACTCCAGAGCTGAGCCCAATCCCTTCTTGGTGCTGCCTTAGGGCTAGTGATTCTCTTTTGTGCCCACAATGTACTCTGTCCATTCTGGAGCTTTTACTCACCCCATTTCTCCCAGACCTCTCTTTGCACCCTCCCCTCAAGGCCCCTCACAGGCCACCTCAGCACTTCAAGGTTTCTGCCTCCTCTGACCAACTGCAGCACCCACCTGGCCTGATCATGGAAATCACAGTCATCAGTACTCAAAGGGAGTCTAGAGTTCAGGGGTAGATGGTTTAACATTTGCATAGTGCTTAGAACTGTGTCTGGCACAGATAAGTGGTTGCTATCTTATCTATCCCCTAGTAGTTATTCCCAATAACCCGAGTGCAGTTCCTTCATCCTTAAAATTACTCTAAATCCTACATATATAACAGGAACCTGAAATAGATAAAATTCTCAGAAAAAGTGGGTTTATGGTTTCCCTCACGGTAGGACATGGGCTTAGTAATAGTATTGGTACAAGTGGTGGAGAGGGACGTGAAAGGTACTGGGAACCACTGAACGAGTCCCAAGCCTGCCTTTTGTAGCTAATGATAATGGTAAACACATAGAAAGCATTCACTTTGTGCCAGATAGCCCTTGTACTTTATATGCATTACCTAATTTAATCCCTAAATAACTCTATGAGGTGGAATACTATTATCTGCACTTGCAGATGAGGAGACTGAGGCAAAGAAAGGGTAAAGCACTAGAGCAAGGCCCTAACCAGTTTGGCTCAGTGGATAGAGCGTCGGCCTGCGGACTCAAGGGTCCCAGGTTCGATTCCAGTCAAGGGCATGTACCTTGGTTGCGGGCACATCCCCAGTAGGAGGTGTGCAGGAGGCAGCTGATCGATGTTTCTCTCTCATCGATGTTTCTAACTCTCTATCCCTCTCCCTTCCTCTCTGTAAAATATCAATAAAAATATATTTTAAAAAAAAAGTACTAGAGCAAGGTCACATAGCTAGTGAGCAACTTAGCAGGGATTCCCACCTGTTCAGGTTTGGCCTGGCTGAGAGCCATGTTCTTAACCATCATACGATGCTGCCTCAAAGTGAAGAAAGTTGGCCCAGGGATGAGAAGTGACTGAAGTGAGGTGCCAGCTCTCTTTATCTGTTTGCTCCCCTTTGCTGGTCAGGCTCTGAGCTTCATTGAGGCTGGGAGCCTTCCTGCACCTTGCCTCCCATACATAGGTCTCAGTGTTTAATTTCTTTTAATTTTTCAATTTTTTATTTATTTTTTATTGAGTTCAGAGAGGAAGGGAGAGAGAAATAGAAACATCAATGATGAGAGAGAATCATTGATCGGCCGCCTTCTGCACGCCCCACACTGGGGATCTAGTCTGCAACCCGGGCATATGGCTTGAATGGGAATCAAATCGTGATCTCCAGGTTCATAGGTCAACATTCAACCACTGAGCTATGCCGGCCGGGCCTCAGTGTCTAATTTCTAAGCTCACACCCCAAGAGTGTGGTACTGGGCACTCACCTTGCAGGTCAGAGATCAGCAGAGGGAGGGGATCCCGGGGAAAGGAGGCCTGGGTGTGGGGAAGTGAGAGCAGCAGCAGCAGGAGCAGCAAGGGCATGAAGTAGGGGGCACGGGGCATCCTGTGCGGGGCAGCTCAGGCCCCAGGGGGTGCCCCCTCACCCATATGCTGGCCCTGAAAGAGGACGCAGAGAACAGTGGGGGCGGGGCCCAATTCTCTCCACCCTGGAAGCAGGCAGGCTCCTCCCCCTGGTCTATCCCCAGAAGACCCTAGGGAATGGGGGAAAGAACCCTCTCTCTCTGGCACTGCCTTCAACCAACTGTCACTGTCACTCAAGGCCCTACCCTCTCCAACTGGCCCAGGCTGGCTGGTGCGAGGCCTGCCTGCATGACCCCAGGTGAGGACAGGACACCCCGCTCCCCTCCCAGCCTTCTCACTCAGCCTATCCTCACTCCAGACTGGGCCTGGGACATTCAGTAGATGACACCTCCTGGCCCCCCTCTTGCTAACCCCTTCCCAGCTATAATTAGACACTAAAGCCTTAAAATTATAAATAGTGACTCCTTGGCACTGGGAGGAGGAAGAGGGCACCATGTCTGACTCCCCCTACATTTCAGACCCCCAGGGCACCCTGGAAGCACCACAGGCACTGAGCCCGGGCAGAGGCAGCTGTGAGATAGCCACTGTCCTCTTTAGGGCTGAGGAAAAGCACAGTTGGGGAAGGCAGCCTAAGGGTCATTGTCCCGGTCTAAACTCATGTTTCAGGGGCCCTCCCCATTGCTAGGGAGAAGCTGGGGTGGGGGGGAGTGAGGGGAGTTGCTGCTGTCTTAGCCAAAAATGAATCTGCATCAAAGCCAGATCAGAGGCTAAATTTAGCTCTGGCTGCAGCTGTCTGCCCGACCACTGTGCCCCTTCCCAGCCTCTCTATCCCCCTGCTCCCTCCCCGGCTCCTAAGAACCAGTGCTTCTACTTAATGGGGGGAGGGGGAAGTGCAGACACACCCCCTGTGAGGAGCCAGGGATAGAAGGGGCTACACTGGTGAGGAGAAATGGCTGCACATGTCCCTCTTTCTCTTCCTTCCCCCTTCGGGCTACCTCAAAATGGAAATATAAATTATTCAATGACAGGCAGGCAATCATAGTCCAGGAAAAGAAGGGCAGGGTGGGAGGGATGGTGAGACAACCTCCCTTCCCACCCATCAGCCTCCCCTCTCTGACCCACAGTGGGAGGTGTACACCAACTCCCTGCCTTCCCCTGAAATTGAAGTAAGGGTCTGAGCAGGTTCCAGAAATCAGGTCAGAAAGGGTGAGAATCCTTTCTTTTTGTGAACAGACAGCTACCTTTTACCAGTCCTTAGTTGCCCATCCTGCCATGCCCCCTGAGCTTCCAGGCCCAGCCCATTCCATCTCCTCAACAATTCCACTCTTGGAGCCAGGACCCAAGTGTACCCACCCCCACTCCAGCGTCACTGATGGGGAGATTGACGTCAGATGGGGTCTCAAGAGAGCTAGAGGAGGGGAAGGGGTAGCAACACCTAGATGACCCCCCTCCCCGGAGGCAGAGCAGTCAGCTAGCTAACGACCCTCTGGCGCTAAAAAGCCAAGCCTCCCTCCCCCACACTTCCACCATGTTTCTGGATGCTGGGACTCCCAGGGGAAGAGGGAGGGAGGGACACGGATTGTCTCCTATCCTTACCCTCCTGCCCCCGCCCCAAGTTGCCCTGGGCAACAAGTATCTTCACCCAGGAAACAACTTTGATCTGTGGCAAGTGGGGAGAACATCCAGACCCTCTCCCTGCTCCCAGGCCATGCTAGCTTCCATCCCCCGCCCTCATCACCTTTCCTTACCTGGGTGATGACTGCTGTTGGGGTTTGAGGATAGAAGACCTTTGACCTGATGGAAGGAGGGACAGAGGAGGGAAGAGACTGTGTTACTACACCTCCTTACCACATCCCTTAAAAGTAAATGTGAATATTCAGAAGTCTAGAAGTCTAGTGAGACTAGGATAGAGATGCTGGTGTGTATGTGTGTGTGTGTGTGTGTGTGTGTGTGTGTGTGTGTGTGTTGACATTGAGCTTGGTTACGAAGGTGCTGGCAGCTTCATGCCCAGAGATGTGAGGGCAGGGGCTGGGGCTGGCTCCTAGTCGGAAACTGCTGAAACTGCAGGACCAGTCTTGGGAAAGAAGTAACTGGGAGAGTTTGTCGGGCACGATGACCACTCCCACGCTAAAACCCTCAGAATCCAGCAGCCTTCTTAGCAAAAGCGCCCTAGCTGGGGACAATAGAGGCTAATTTGCATCTCATTTACATGCTCTTCATTTCTAGGCAAAATGTTGATATCAGGCATCCCCATCCCCTTCCTTCTTCCTGAGCGAGCAGGCCATGCCTCCCTCTCACCCAATCTCCTTCCACCCCACCCCCCACCCAGGTCCAGCCTCTAAAAACACTTGGTTGGCCTTTGCATGGGCCCCTAGACTTAACCATGATATAGCTTTAAGAGGGCTTTCCTTGGCTGTTTTGGGGGAGCAGCATCTGAGCAGCCTGGGGACAGGCTTATCCTGCTGGGACCAATCCCAGCTGCTCCATACCCCCATCTGAGGCAAATGGGGGAGGCCTGGCCGTCCTTTCTCCCCCTCCTCTTCCCTTGCTGGAAAGAGGAAACAGCCTTTCTCTCCTCTCCTGGCCCCGAAGCCACCTCTGGGGAGTGGCCGAGGTCAAAGCCAGAGTCTAGCGGGGGCTGGGGACGAGATGGAGAAGGGGAGACCGGGCTGGGGACAATAGCAGGAAGCCCTCCGGCTGGCCGCCCGCCCCAGTCCACCTTCCTCTGAGGGAGCGGGGGGCGCGCCGAGGAGCCTCGCGGGACAGACGCGTTCGCACCTCCAAGACATTTTCCCACCCTCAGCTCTCAGCCCCCAGCTCACACCTACCCTCCCTCCCACCCAGCCCCCCACGAGGATAACCCAGGTGTCCATCGCCTCGCATCGGTGGGCCCGGGGCCAGGGGCTCGACGTGTCTCCCCCTCACTGGATCCGAGGCTCCGAGAGGGGCGGGTAGCAGAGTCTGGGCCGGGACCGGGTCCCAGAGCCACGTTAGCGGGAGGAGGGGCTGGAGGGGCCTGCAAGCGCAGACCAAGCAGGGATGGAAGCGGGGGTGGGGGAGCAGAGGCGGGTCTCCGAGGCCAGGGAAACAGGGTCAGAGGCTGGGAACCGACGAGGGCGGGTCCGGGGCCAGCGCCGACCCGGGTCGGCAGGCTCGGAGGCAGTCGCCAGCTCGTCTCTCCTCCTCGGGAGACCTAGGTCTAACAAAGCCCCGGACAGAGTGGGGTGCGGGAAGGAGATGGCTCTGGGACTGATGTTTCTGAAGGACCCCATTCCCCGACACTGTGCCGGGGCCAACCCCTTGGGCGGTGCAAGCCCAAGGACAGAGGTGCAGCCGTGACACCAAGTCCGAAACGACGCGTCCCCCCTTCCCATCCTCGCAGGGGCATCAAGAGGACCTGGTTTTACGCGGGTCACGGATCCTTAGTTTCTCTGATGGGGAGGCAAGGGACCAGGTTTTCCACCCTCCGCACAGTGCGCGCCTCAAATCATCCATCTTCGCGCTCCCCAATTCAGGAGACAAGACTCGGTCGGCAGAGGCGCCCAGACCCTGCGCCTACCGTACAGTGACGCGCTCTACAGCCCCCTCCGCGCACCCCACCTCCACCGACCCTCTCCGCCAGCCAGGCACACCGCGCACTGGCATCTCCCGGGTGCCTCGCGCACTTAGGAATCTTGCCTCCAGCCAGCCGCGCCCCGTCCTCCCTGCCTCCCTGCAGCCCTGTCCCAGCTCCGGGGTACTTGCTCCGAGATCCGAGCTAGCGGGGTCGAGAGGGCAGCGGGCGGGCAGCGGCCCCGCACCGCGCCGACTTCGCGATCCGTGGTTGGGGCTCTGGCGAGGTGTGATGAGCGTACGAGTTGGACGGGGCTTGGATCTGGATTCCCGGGCGCTGTCCAGTCCCTCCAGCCCAGTCGCAGCCCCCAATCCCGCCGCGGGTCCGCGGAGGAAAACAATGCGACCGCCGGGAGGTCTGGGCCGGGCCCCAGCAGCCCCTCCCGCCTCCCGGTCGGACCCGCCTCCGGTCCGCCTCGAGTTCGCCGCAACTAATCGGGCTCTCGCAGGCTGGCTAGACCCCGCCTCCTCGACACATTTCCACCAATAGTCCTCCTCGGGGGCGGGGCGCCTGGAGCACCGCCCAGTGAGAGGCCAGGCCGGGAGCTGAGCTGGAGACCAAAGCCAAGCTGGAGCTGAAGAGACCCTGGGCTACTGCTGAGAGCCAGACGGAGGAGGGGGTCACACGTCTTAACGCGGAGAGGCCCTGGAAAGAAAGAGCCGCTGGGAGGAGACAAGAAACCCAGGGACCGCAGCTGGGCTAGGCTGTCAGAGCCGGCGGGACCCTCCCTCCCCTCCTTTCCTCTACAATGGCTTTGGCTACCCTGCTCCCTGGGGAGTCTCCCGCCGCCAACTTTCTGTTCGTCTTCTCTAGTTTTTTGTTTTGTTTTGTTTTGTTTTTACCTCAACCCTCTTATTTTTCCCCATGTGCCTCCTCTGGTTCTTCGTGACCCCAATAAGGGAGGCCTGCATGCACTCAAGGGCTTGAGGCCTGAGACAGGAAGGAGGTCTTCCTAGTCCCCACCATCTCCTCCCCTCCCACCTCTACTGCCACAACAGGACTAGCTTGGGCAACTAAGCCAGGACCTAAGGAGCCAGGATGCCAGAGTGGCTGGTAGTCAGGCTACTAGTTGATGGAAGAACACAGGTGAGTCAGGCTAAAGCCAAAAGAGAGATGTGGAGATCGAGACAAACCGAGTCAGAGAATCAGAGGAAAAGTGACCAGCTGTCCTTATTCCACATAGCCTTACTGTCCCCAAATACAGGGTTAGTTATGTCCCATCTTTCCTTAGAGAACCCTGGACATCCCTCCAAACAGCAAAACTGAAAACTGCTCCTTCCCCATCCCCACCTTCCATAAAGATCCTTTGATTCTGGCCCTGGCTGGGATGCTCTAACCAGAGCATCCTTCTGGTATGCCAAGGCTGTGGGTTTGATTTCCCGTCGGGACACATACAAGAATCAACCAACGGCCCTAGCCAGTTTGGCTCTGTGGATAGAGCGGCGGCCTATGGACTAAAGCAGGGGTCCTCAAACTTTTTAAACAGGGGGCCAGTTCACTGTCCCTCAGACCGTTGGAGGGCCGGACTATAGTTTAAAAAAAAACTATGAACAAATTCCTATGCACACTGCACATATCTTATTTTGAAGTAAAAAAACAAAACGGAAACAAATACAATATTTGTATTTGCATGTGGCCCGCGGGGCCGTAGTTTGAGGACCCCTGGACTAAAGGGACTCAAGGGTCAGGTTCAGGCCAAGAGCACATGACCGGGTTGCTGGCTCAATCCCCTCCTCCCCAGTAGGGGGTGTGCAGGAGGCAGTGGATCCATGATTCTCTCTCATCATTGATGTTTCTCTCTCAATCTCTCTCTCTCCCTCTCTCTTTCTCTCCCCCTTCCTCTTTGAAATCAATTAAAAAATATTATTAAAAAAATAATCAACCAATGAATGCATAAATAAGTGGAGCAACAAATTGATGTTTCTCTCTCTCTCTGTTTAAAATTAAATAAGTAAATAAACAAACAAACGACTCTTTGATTCTGGGACTGTCAGTGGGAAGGAAGAATAGGCTACTTCAGACAGCACTGATTGGCTCCCACCTTGGTATTGCCTACTAAGATTCTCCCCTGCGTGGGGGCTGGGACACAAGACAAACGTTCTCAAAATTCCCAGGATAGTGGGTGGCCTGGGAGACATTGGCATTCTTGGGTAGTTTTATCTGAATGAGCACCTCTTTCCTCCATGCCCCACATCCTCTTCCCTGGACTGAAGGAAAGGAGAGACGAGTTTGCTACATCTAGCCAGTCTTTACTGGACTAAGATCAGGATGCAAAGCATCACTAACTGGGCTGAACCCCACCACAAAGAAGCAAGAGATATAAACATACATACACTCACACACATACATACACACAACACAGAAACAGAGACACAGATGGAAGGCCAGGTAAACCAATGAGATAAACAGAATCAGAAAAAATGGAACAATACATATACAAGGTTAACTGCTAAGGGTCTTGGGTCTAAGGCAATTCAGTAGCCAGGGGGGCTGTTTTAAAGCCTGGAAAGAGGTTTTTGGAGAAAGACACCTCGAAATATAGAGGTTGATCCCTAACCGGTTTGGCTCAGTGGATAGAGCATCGGCCTGCGGACTCAAAGGTCCCAGGTTCGATTCCGGTCAAGGGCATGTACCTGGGTTGCGGGCACATCCCCAGTGGGAGGTGTGCAGGAGGCGGCTGATCGATGTTTCTCTCTCGTCGATGTTTCTAACTCTCTGTCTCTCTCCCTTCCTCTCTGTCAAAAATCAATAAAATATATTTAAAAAAAAAAAAAAAGAAAATGACCATCTATTTCAGTGGTTCTCAACCTTCTGACCCTTTAAATACAGTTCCTCATGTTGTGACCCAACCATAAAATTATTTTCGTTGCTACTTCATAACTGTAATGTTGCTACTGTTATGAATCATAATGTAAATATCTGATATGCAGGATGGTCTTAGGCGACCCCTGTGAAAGGGTCGTTCGACCGCCAAAGGGGTCTCGACCCACAGGTTGAGAACCGCTGATCTATTTGAATTAAAACAAGACTTACCACCCTGGTCAGCGGTGCTCAGTGGTTAAAGTGTCATTCTCAGGTTTGATTCCCGGCCAAGGTCATGTACCTGGGTTGCAGGTTTGATCCCCAGCCCTGGTCAGGGCACAGACAGCAGGCAACCAATCAATGTCTCTCTCTCACATGGATGTTCCTCTCTCTTTCTTTCTCTCTCTCTCTCCCCCTTTCTCCCTTCCATTCTCTCTCCAAAAAAGCGATGGGAAAAAAATATCCTCCAGTGAGGATTTACAAAAAACAAACAACACAAACAAAACTTACAGTTAGCCCAGCTGGCATGGCTCAGTGGTTGAGCGTCAACCTATGAACCAGAAGGTCATGGTTCAATTCCCAGTCAGGGCACCCCGGGTTAAGGGTTATGGGGTCAATCCCTGGTGTGGGGTGAGCAGGAGGGAGCCAATCAATGATTCTCTCTCATTACTGATATTTCTATCTCTCTCTTTCCCTCTTCTTTCCTCTCTGAAATCAATAAAAATATATTTTTAAAAAAGACTTACATGTACTAAATGATTAAAAAGCAATACCAAGTCTTAAAAAAACACCAAAAGTTACATTGAACATAATTCCTAAATGAAAGAAAAGATAATAAATTTTTTTCTGTGATGACTACAGAGAAAGATGGTGGATACATCTTGGGAAAACCTTGGTGGGAGTTGGCTTGGTGCGAAAGAAAATAAAAAATGTCCCAAAGAGGAACATAACTTAAAAGCTTTTATTTGGTGAGCATGGAGCCTGAAGCATGGGTAGCAAAAGGGCCTGTCTGACAGATATGTAAGATACTACTTAGAAGTAGAGGAAAAGGGAAGAGAGAGACAAATTATGGGAGGGTTGGTATGCCAAGGTGAGAAGGTTAAAATAATTTGATAGGAACAAGATGTCATTTTAAGTTCTTGAATAAGGGTGTTTGTTACTTGTCAAAATGCTTTATTGTAGCAAGAAGACAAGGAGACCTTCTAGCAAGAAGATAGGAAAGTTCAAGGATGAGGGGAGAGAGACGGTCAGACAAAGATGTTGCCATTGGGATGAAATGGATGAATCTGAGAGTTATTTCAAAGGAGAGTTACTAGTATTTCAAAGTCCAAATGACACTGTCCCAACACCCTGGAGTCTTCTGGAGAAAATCACACAGTCCCACAGATTGACACCTTTAATCAATTCAGACTCTCCAAGCTTGGAAAATCACTGCCTCCCAGGCCCCACAACTAGTTATTTCAAACAACTGCCTCTTTTTAAAAAAACATATATTCTTATTGATTTCAGAGAGGAAGGGAGAGGGAGAGAGAGATAGAAACATCAATGATGAAAGAATCATTCATCAGCTGCTTCCTGCACACCCCTCACTGGGGATGGAGCCCACAACCCGGGCATGGGCCCTTGACTGGAATCGAACCTGGGATCCTTCGGTCTGCAGGCCAACACTCTATCCACTGAGCCAAACCCACTAGGGCTGGAGTAAATTCTAAGAGGCTTCTTAATGTACTTAATACTGTTCGCTCCTCCTCCACATGGCCCAAATGCTACAATTTTCAATTGTCTGCCTTGTTTTCTTAGTCTTCCCTTGCTATGTTAATGTTCATTGTTATCAGTGTTGCTTTTGAAAGCTTCTCTTTACTCTCTTAATTTGCTATTCATTATATGCTGTGGGTTCAGAGATGATTACTAGAAATGGTATAGATTAAGAGAAAATAAAGACTTCCGCATGAGTGAGGTAAATGAACATTATTTCATGTGACTGTTATGTCTGGTCTTGTGTGTGTGTGTGTGTGTGGTTTGGTTTTTGTTGTTGTTGTTGTTATTGTTAATCCTCACCTGAAGATATTTTTCCATTGATTCTTAGTGAGAGTGGAAGGGAGGGGGAGGGACAGAGAGAGAGAAACATTCATATGAGAAAGACACATCAATTGGCTGCCTCCTGCATGCCTTGAACTAGGGATCAAGCCCACAACCCATGCATGTGCCCTGACCAGGAATTGAACCAGGGATCTCCTGGTTCATGGGTCAATGCTCAACCACTGAGCCACACCAGCTGGGCAGATCATACATTTCTTTTAATTAAAAAGGCTTTTAGCCCTCGCTGGTTTGGCTCAGTGGATAGAGTGTCGGCCTGCAGACCGAAAGATCCCAGGTTCAATTCCAGTCAAGGGCACATGCCCGGGTTGTGGGCTCAGTCCAATGTGCAGAAGGCAGACAATCAATGATTCCCTCTCATCATTGATGTTTCTATCTCTCTCTTCCTCTCCCTTCCTCTCTGAAATCAATAAAAGTATATTTTTAAAAAATAAAAATAATAATAAAAAGGACTTTTACTATTCCTATGATTTGAGTAGTGCCATCTACTCTTGTCCCCAGAGTGTGGTGTGGTCAGTGAATTGATAGAGCAATCAGAGTAGAATGCTACCACATTCCTTATGAGGTTGAAGTTATTACCTCATAACCTTGTAAGGCAATTATCGGAAAAAGCATAGGCTTGAGAGTCATACAAAGTCCTCAGTCTGCCATTTATTAGCCCTCTAATTTGGAGACAGGTTATTCAACCTCTTTAAGCCTCAGTCTTTTTCATTAGCAAGAAGGATATTTTGACATTTAACTCATATAGGTATCAGAGGATTAAATGAGATATTACATAACATCTAGCAAAGTTCAATCAATAAACGCTAGTTCCCGTGTTCTCTCCTCTCATTTCCCTCCTCTGAACTCTTAGTCCAATCACTTCCATCTGCCCCACACCTTGCTCCACATGCATTCCCTCTCCTTTGCATTTTTCTAAGCCTCCCTCTCTTCTGCTCCCTCCTCTCCAGCTATAAAGGTCCTCAACTCTCAGCTAAAAATAGTTCCTCTCTCAGTCCAGCTTCCATCCCCTTAAGCTACCTTTCCATTTCTCTTCATCCCTTTACCACCACACTCCTTAAAGGAGTTAACACTCCCCATCCACATTGTATCAAGGACCCTCAGCTCTGGACCCTGGACTCAGAGAGGCGGGAGTAAAAAAGAGGTCAAGACCCCAGCCACTGTCTCCAAGGAGGAAGACCAATGTTTTGGGAGTCAGTATGCTGACTGTCTCGACTTCTGAATTCAATTTACCCTTTAACTTTTCACAACCAGCTAACTTTCCGATCCTTCCCCTTCTGCATGCACCCCTTTCTGGGAAAATCACCAAATCCCAAGGTCTCTCATTAGTACTCATCCTGTGCTTAAGCGAGCTTCTTTTCAAGCATACCCCTTTCTCAGCTAAAAGTTTATTGAAGCCTCTCACCCAATCCCACTGAGTTAATGATTTCACTTTCCTGATTGAAAACCTGTAATGCCTCTCTACTGCCTATGGGAAAAGTCTGAAGTCTTGAGCAAGTGCTTTAAGACCTTCCATAATCTGGTCTTTTTCCTTCTTTACTTCTCTCTCAGAACCTATGCTCCAGACATACAGAATCACCGCTTCCTGCGTATGCCTCATATTATCTTTACTGTATTCGCTGTATGACTTATACTTATCCCCATCGTCTGGGAAGCACTTCTTCCTCATATCTGCCTATTAAATAGTACCCATCCTTCTAAGTCTGCTTCTTTCGCCCTATAAAAAATACCCTAAATTTCTCTCTACTCTCATAATTTCTTATTGATTTGAGAGAAAGGAGGAGTGAGAGAGATTTCTTGTTCCACTTATTATGCATTCATTGATTGCTTCTTGTATGTGATCGAACCTGCAACCTTGGCATATTGGGACAATGCTCTAACCAACTGAGCTAAAAAAATTAATTTTTAAAAAATATATTTTATTGATTTTTTTTTTTTTTTACAGAGAGGAAGGGAGAGGGATAGAGAGTTAGAAACATCGATAAGAAAAAAACATCGATCAGCTGCCTCCTGCATACTCCCCACTGGGGATGTGCCTGCAACCAAGGTATATGCCCATGATTGGAATCAAACCTGGGACCCTTCAGTCCACAGGCCAACGCTCTGTCCACTGAGCCAAACCGGTTAGGGCGGGCTGCGTGGTTTTTGATGGTAAATAGTTTTGCCTCATTTAGGAACTCTGACTTTCCTTCATTTAAAAAAAAATTTTTTTTTATTGATTTTAGAGAGGGAGAGGGAGAGAGATAGAAACATCAATGATGGGAAAGAATCGTTGATTGGGTGCCTCCTGCACGCCCCACACTGGGGATCAAGCCTGCAACCCAGGCCTATGCCCTGACCTGGAATCAAACCGTGACCTCCTGCTTCATGGGTCAATGCTCAACCACGGAGCAATGCTGGCAGGGCCCTTCATTTTTAAAATTTCTTTAGCAGCTACAAAGTACATGGTAGGCTTGTTTCTTCCAGTGGTTTGATCCTGTGCTGACACCTGCTGGTCAGATCTGGTTTGGCAGCCCTGGCCCTAGCACCTCCCTCTCTCAAGTATTAAGGGAGGGACAGTCCGTGCCACCCTAACTCAGCCAGGCGCTGGAAGCATATGCTCATGATAATACTGCTCCACGGGCCTACCCATCCCTGGAGACGCCAGGAGCACACTCAAGTCTGCTGGTCGCTGTCTTGCCTCTGGAATCTCCAGCTTAAGTTCAGCTCAATCTTCAGAACGTTCTCCATTGACTGCACACCCCAGCCATTTGTACTTTACAAGATTTCAAGGAATTGGGCAGCAAGCAAAGAAACAAGCAGACCATTTGAGAACAGGGTTTATGTAATCCCTCCTTATCACCTCAAAGAATCAAGACTAGCCAGTTTGGCTCAGTGGATGGAGCGTCGGCTTGCAGACTGAAGGGTCCCAGATTTGATTCTGGTCAAGGGCACATCCTCGAGTTGTGGGTTTGATCCTCAGTGTGGGGTGTGCAGAAGGTAGCCAATCAATGATTCTCTCTCATCATTGATATTTCCATCTCTCTCTCCCTCTCCCTTATTCTCTGAAATCAATGAAAATATATTAGAAAAAAACAAATAAGAATCAAGACTATTTCCTACAGAGTGCTATTCCTTTTGACCTATGTCATACTTCTAGGAGGCTCTTGGGCCATAAACTTTCTTGGTGACTGTATGAAGAACCGGAGGTTGAGCTGAGAGTAGGTAGGCGGGGCTTGAGGGGTGGGGCCAGGCCAAAGGGCCTCTCACTTTGGAGCTTCTCCATTCAGTCAGCTCTTCCGGAACATCCAAGGCAAGACTGGCACCCAGTGCACAGCAGGTGAGGGACTGGCAATGACTGGCAAGGGACTGGTAGGCTTTAGGGGTGAAGGTGACAGAAGAGTCCTGGCTCTGTCAGCCTGATCTTTCCAGATTGTGAGACTAACCCGATAGCATTCTTGGGTCTCCAGTGGAGGGGTCCAGCTCAGTTTTCCCTGGGGCAAGACAGACATGGTTTGGGATGGGTTGGGGCAGGGCTGAGGCCTGAGGGTGGAGGTGTGTGTGTCTGACAGAGTACTGAGGGGTGCAAGGCAATCTTGGGAGCCATGGAGGTAAATGTAAGGGCCAGAGGAAGAGCCTGGCCGGAGGATCATAGGGCAGGTCCCAGGCAAGAGAAAAAGTGAGACAGAAACAGGGAGAGAGGGAGAGGACAGTGGACCAAACGTGAGATGGCAACGGGGGCAACTGAGGGCTGGGTAACAGGAAGGCCAAGGAGGAAGGAAGGCCCAAATGGAGCAATCTCCTCTCCTGGCTGTGGAACATGGTTCAGAAAGCCCCCAACAAAGGCAGGGACAAAGCGAGGTTCCAGGGTCCCCTTGGACTGGCTCGGCTGGAGGAGAACCCCCCACCCTCCAGGTACCCATCTTGCCTGACTCTTCAGACTCCCATATTGGTTTGGGGGAGAGGGTGAGGCTGCTCCTCACTGCGGTCACAGCCACATCCTGCAGAACAGGGGAGGGGGAAGTAAGAAGCAAAACAACCAGAACAACCCCAGGCAAAGACCACGGGGCGAGCACCCTGGACATTTGCAGCTGATGGGTCACCAGGAGGGTCCCAGTTCAGGTCCAGCAGAAGACTAGACCTCTAGTACTGCCTGCCCCCACTGGGGTGCTTGCTTCTCATGCTTCCTCTGTGTGCTTCAACAGCCTGGACAGCCTTCCAGGGAAGGAAGTTTCTTTGGATTATTTGGTTTGAGGCCCCTTTTTATCGTTTGCTAGTGACTTAGGCCAAGTTGCTTAATTTCACTTGGCTTCAGTTTTCTCATTGTAAAATCGGGATGTCTATCTTACAAAGGGTTGGGAAGACTGAGATCATTCACATAAAGCACTTGGCACATAGTAGGGTCTCAATAAATATTAGTTATTATTTTTATCAAGACTCCTGGGGCCCCATATTTCTCACTTATTTAAAGGCAGTATATCACACTGGTTGACATGGGCTTTTGGAGTCAGAAAAACAGTAGTGTTTGATCTTGGGTAAATGATTTAATGAAGCTTCCGTTTGCTCAGCTATAAAACAAGGATAGAAATACCTACACCTCACAGATATATGGCACATGGTCAGTGTCCAAAATGGTAGCTGGGAGAATTCTTTGCCAGGTAAGCCTTATCATCTCCACTGTAGCAGACATAGCCTGCTTCCCCTTAAAACTTAACTTGAGGTGGGCTAGCCTCCTCTGTGTGTGTGTGTGTGTGTGTGTGTGCCCTCATTCCTCCAGCCAAAGCTATTCTGCTCCTCTAGGCTGCCTTAGAGATCAAGATTTCTTACAGCCCTGGCTGGTTTGGCCCAGTAGATAGGGTATTAGCCTGCGGACTGAAGGGTCCCGGGTTTGATTCCAGTCAAGGGCACATGCGCGGGCTACGGACTCAATCCCCAGTCTGGGGTGTGCAGGGAGTAGCCTATCAATGATCCTTTCTCATCATTGATGTTTCTATCTCTCCCCCTCTCCCTTCCTCTCTGAAATCAATAGAAATATATTTAAAAACAAAAGAAGATTTCTTACAGCAGTAAAGGGAAAAAATAGGAACAAGGCATTGGGGACTGAGGGGCCCAGGGGGAAAATATGACAAGCAAAGATGCTGATGAGATAGAAACCAAATAAGAGACAGAAAGGGGAAAAGCTATTTCTCTCTTTCTAAGGAAGCCTGTGGCCTTTCTTCTGACTGACCGCATACCCCCGCCCCCACCTCCTCCTCCAGGAGCCATGGAGTCCTTCAGCTCAAAGAGTCTGGCACTGCAAGCGGAGAAGAAGCTACTGAGTAAGATGGCCGGTCGGTCTGTGGCTCATCTCTTCATCGACGAGACAAGCAGCGAGGTGCTAGATGAGCTCTACCGTGTGTCCAAAGAGTACACGCAAAGCCGGTCCCAGGCCCAGCGGGTCATCAAGGACCTCATCAAGGTGGCTGTCAAGGTGGCCGTGCTGCACCGCAGTGGCTGCTTTAGCCCCAGTGAGCTGGCCCTGGCTGCCAGCTTTCGCCAAAAACTGCGGCAGGGCGCCATGACGGCGCTCAGCTTTGGCGAGGTGGACTTCACTTTCGAGGCCGCGGTGCTGGCCAGCCTGCTGACCGAGTGCCGGGACATACTGCTGGCGCTGGTGCAGCACCACCTCACACCCAAGTCACACGGCCGCATCCGCCACGTGTTCGACCACTTCTCTGACCCAGGCCTGCTCACGGCCCTCTACGGGCCTGACTTCACTCAGCACCTTGGCAAGATCTGTGATGGGCTCAGGAAGTTGCTGGATGAGGGAAAGCTCTGAACCCAGCACATTCCACCGTGATCGTGACTAAACGGCTGGCTGAGAACGCAACAATGAATGGGCTCTCTAACTCTGCTCATCTGCACTAACGCTTTTCAGTCCTCCGGCTCCAGTCTTCCCCAGGAATGCTTTTGACTCCAATCCCCCTACCCCAAATGGCTGGTGGGGAAGAAGCAATGAGGCCTCTCTCCCACACCAGCCCCTGGGCAAGAAACAAAGCTGCATGAAAAGAGGAAGTGAAATTTGGATCTCTTATTTCCTCCATAAGGGATGTTTGAAACAGGGAAGCCCCTTCCCCTGTGAACCCCTCTGGGGACACTAAAGACAGAGGGGGGAAGGGGTTGCTTTGAGACATCCTAGACCTGCGGTTCTAGGCAGAGCCAGGACAGACACCAGGGGCTCTGTCCCAGAGTACAGGAAGAGCGACTAGGGCAGGGGAGAGTCTCACAGGGGAAATAAAACTACTAAAACATGCACAGGGCTCAATGTTTAATCTCTCCAGTTTCTTATATCTGATGATCATCATGATGGTATTTAACACCACTTATCTCACCACTCGCCTTTGCACACAGGACACTCAGGCGTATTTCAGTATCATTGGGGTTCCCTTGCCTACTTCTGCTTAAAAACTGTACCGCAGATCAGTGCTACAAATTGCAAATAAATATTCAGTGAGGAGCAAGGCATACAGCAACAGGCTCTGATGGGGAGGGAGTATAACAAATAGGAACTGTTTGTTACACTCCCACAACTGTTCTCCGCTTCGAACTCCAAGGCAATTCTTCTTCCATCCCTTAGCCACACAGGCTGAACAGAGGCGCAGGTTAGTAGGTGAATTGAATAGTTCCGGTACCTACATCACTGTTTTTTTTCCTCAGAGAAAGAGTTGTGAAAGAGTTGTAGTGAATTGGTTAGTCAAGACTAAATCCAAATTCTTTACTTTGAGGGTTAGATCACGGATTGCCCCACCCTCAATAACATGCTTGGCTAAAAAGGTGGGCAGCCAGCAGTTACTGGCTCAGTGTTCCTGGGTTTCCCTCACACCATGGCTATAAAAATCCCATTTTCAGCTAAGAGTGGGAAAGAACAAAATACAGCAAATAAATATTACTTCAATATAGCACCAAATAAATTAGGTAACATAGTTGGAGATGGGGAAGAAGTTAGGGCCTGAGGGAGTCACCTGCCTCCTGTTCTAAGGCCAAGGAATGGTGAAAGGGATGGGAAAGGCAGCAGGGATGTAAAAAGAACCTTTGAATCTAAAGGACAGCTCTAGATTCAACCCCAGAACTGAGAAGGGGTCTATTCCCCACCCCCTACTCTTGCCAATAAAACTGCCTCAGGCCAAGGAGCTCTTGATGAGACATGAGGCTGGGCAGGAGGGAGGCAGGTGGGCCGGGAAGCCATGTTCTTGAGCCTCACCTCAGGCTCCTCTCCCCCTCAAGTTGCTCCTTCACCATCTTGCTTCTCTCAATCAGTTCTGGAGACATCAGAGTTTGAAGATTTCATCCTCCTGGTCTCGAAGTGTCTGGATTCGAGAGGTCCGGGTCAGTGGCACGGGACCTAGGACTGCTCGTTGCTGCATCCGAGGGGAGCTGCGGTGAAGACCTGACTCCTCCCCAGGTACCCTGCAAATGAGGAAAGGGGAGAAAGAGTGACAGGTCAAGGGAAGAGCCTGAGAATAGGCCAATGATGAGGCACGTGGGAAGCTGCCTCCTTTCCTAATACATCCAAGCTGGTCTAGATGGAGTCTCAATGTCTTCCGGATAAGTCCTAGTCCTACTGCTCCTTCATGGATCATCAGAGCAGTAAGAACAGTCAACTATTTTACTCCAGTGAGAACACAAAACCCTTCCCCACTGCCTCTACCCATTCCAGCAGCCACTGGCTCTGCTCACTGCCCTGGGGCCACTGGAGGAAAGGATTCCCCTTGCTTCTGCGGACACTGTGCTTACTTACTTGTGTATCTGGTAAGGTAAGCCTAGAAGAACAGAGAAGTCGGTGAAGGGGCTTAAAAGGAACCATTAAGACTCACCCACTTTCCCCTTTTCTCAGTTTCTGGGCAGCAGCCTTCTTTGACAGGCTGATCTGTGAATCAAGCTTCTTAAGGAAATCAGAGGCAGAGAGGTCATGGATGGGAGTGGGGGGTTCCTGGCCAGGTGTGGAAAGGACTTTAACATTGGCACGTCCTGAGCCTGTCTGCTGTGTCTTCTGCTCAGCTGAGTGTGGCCAAACTTCAGCCTTACTTGGCTGCATCTCTTCCTCTCCATCTTTCTCTTCCTCAGAATCCAAACCATTGAACAGGTCTCTGGGCTCTGTCAGGATGGGGATGTAGAGGGTTTTCTTCAGGAAGATGGAGTCATTAGTATAAAGGCGGTTTGCACGTTTAATCTGTTCCATCTTTAAAAAAATAGTCACCACAATTAATGACAGTAATAAAGATACATGTTATATTTGTATAGCATTTAATGCCTTTAACAGTGATTGTGTAGCCGTGGCGGGTGTGGCTCAGTTGGTTGGAGGGTCACAGGTTCAATCCCAGGTCGGGGTACATACAGTAGGCAGCCCATTGATGTTTCTCTCACACCAATGTTTCTCTCCTCATTTCTCCTCCTCTCCCTTCCTCTCTCTCTAAAATCAATGAAAAACATATTCTTGGGAAAGGATTACATACATTTGTTTAAAAAGGGATTAGAGTCTTATCTCTTATCAAGAGACCCTATAACAATCAAACTAAAGTACAAGGGGCTGATCTTAGTCCTATCTTATTGATCAGTGGTTTTCATGTCTTTTGGTCATAGGATCCTTTTACATTTTTAAAAATTATTGAGGAAAGCCCTGCCTGAGTGGCTCTGTTGGTTGAAACATCATCCTGTTCACCAAAACGTTGTGGGTTCAATTCCAGGTCAGGGAACATACCTAGGTTGCGAGTTCAACCCCGGATTGGGGCGCGTACCGGATATAGTCCATTAGTGTTTCTCTCTCTCCCTCAATAAATATATCCTTGGGTGAGGATTTTAAAAAACTTATGAGGAAAAAAGCTTTTCTTTATGTGGATGATAGCTATCAATATTTAAGGTATTATAAATTAAAACTGAAAAAGTTTATGCCCTAGCTGGTTTGGCTCAGTGTATAGAGCAGTGGTTCTCAACCTTCTGGCCCTTTAAATACAGTTCCTCATGTTGTGACCCAACCATAAAATTATTTTCGTTGCTACTTCATAACTGTAATGTTGCTACTGTTATGAATCGTAATGTAAATATCTGATATGCAGGATACCCTTGTGAAAGGGTCATTCAACCGCCAAAGGGGTCGCGACCCACAGGTTGAGAACCGCTGGTATAGAGCATCAGCCTGTGGACTGAAGGGTCCCAGGTTCAATTCCAGTCAAGGGCACATACCTCGGTTGCAGGCTCCTGGCTCTGGTTGGGGGCATATGGGAGGCAACCAATTTATGTGTCTCTCTCACATCAGTGTTTCTCTTTGTCTATCTCTTCCCTTCCACTCTCTAAAAAGAAAAACTGCAAAAGTTTAAGAACATGTATTTATTTAAAAATAATAAACCCATTACATGTTAACATAAATATTTTAAGAAAAATAACTATATTTTCCAAAACAACAAAAATGTAGCTAGGAGAGGCACTGTTTTACATTTTTGCAAATCACCTTAATATCTGACTTAATAGAATACAACAGGATTCTCGTATCTGTCTCTACATTCAATCTCTTTAAATATCACATGATGTAGCCTCTTTTTTTAAAATTCAGTTTTTTAATTTAATTAAAATTGTATCTCAACAGTTTCAGCTAGTTGTATATACTGTTCCTAGCTGATTACAATAAGATGAAATTCCCCTGATTCACATGTGATGTAACCTCTTGAAAACAGTACGCTCATGAGAATGAGAATGAAAAAGGCATATAAAATCTCATTATTACTATGAAAAAAGTTTTGACCTTGTGGATCCCTGAAGGGTTTCAGGGACCCCTAGGGGTCCCTGGATCTCACTTTGAGAACTTCTATTAAAGATGAAGGAACTGAGGCTCAGGGAGATTAAGTTACTTGCCTAAGATTATCTAGCAAGTTAATGACAGAGCTAGGGCCCTTTTACTCCTTCTGGGAATATTCCACACTACAATATTAATTTCACTGACCAAATATTTACTTAGTACCTACTTATTTATCACTGAACATGGTGACTGGCATCACCATCTATCTACCTGCCTCCCAAGGTAGAAATATCAATGTCACTCTTAACTCATACTTTTCTTTCATCACCCATACCCATGTGGCCTCTCATATCTGGTTTAATCTTCAGTCTTCTGCCATCACTTTAGACAGTGGTTCTCAACCTTCTGGCCCTTTAAATACAGTTCCTCATGTTGTGACCCAACCATAAAATTATTTTCGTTGCTACTTCATAACTGTCATGTTGCTACTGTTATGAATCATAATGTAAATATCTGATATGTAGGATGGTCTTAGGTGACCCCTGTGAAAGGGTCGTTCGACCGCCAAAGGGGTCGCGACCCACAGGTTGAGAACCACTGCTTTAGAACAAGCCTTAATACTTCTCATCTGAGTACTGAAAGTTTAATTGGTCTTTCTACTCATCCTTCACCTTGCTGACATCTATCTTTATTCTTCTGCTTCTTTTTAAGAGAGGGAGGAAGGGAAAGAGGGACAGAAATATCAATGTGATCAGGCCTGAAACCTAGGTATGTGCCCTGACTGGGAATCAAACCAGAGACCTTCTGGTGCACAGGACGGCACTCCAATCAACTGAGCCACATAAGCCAGGGCACATCTATCTTTCTCAAAAAATTAATCTGATCAACTCATTACCCTACTTATAAACTCCCTCTGGCTCCTCATTGGCTCAGTTAAAATACAAATTAGCATTCAAGGGCATCCTCAATCTAGCTCCCATAATGTCTAGCTTCATCTCTCTTCTTCTGCCACCTACATATTTTGCCATCCTGAACTTCTCATTTTTCTTTGAATCCTATATAATAAAGAGCTAATATGCTAATTAGACCAGACGGCAGAATGACCTTCCGGAATGACCAGTGGGTGTGGCCGCAAGGCAGCTGGGGCTGCAAGGGCCGAGCCCCCTGCACAAATTTTGTGCACGAATTTCGTGCATTGGGCCTTTAGTATATCATGATCTTTTACACTGAAAGCTAATATGCTAATATGCATTCCGGATGGCAGAATGACCTTCTGGAATGACCAATGGGCGTGGCCGAAAGGCAGCTGGGGCTGCAAGGGCCCAGCCCCCTGCACAAATTTTGTGCACGAATTTTGTGCATTGGGCCTTTAGTATATCATGATCTTTTACACTTTTGTGTCTTTATCTGCCTGAAAGGCTTCTCCA